GCTCTTCCAGTGAACACACAAATGATAAGAAAGCACAATAGCCTTCCTGCCGATAGGGAGAAAGTATCCAAACAGAAGATCAAACCAGCCGCAGCACTACCTTAAAATTAAGCCAAAGTTCATCTGGGGCAAGGTACTAACTGCCTCCAGTTCTGTGAAGGCTGAGGCAGGTGAGGAACTGCATAAGCACAGCCGGAGTTAGCAGAGGCCGGTCTGCACTGTAAGGAAAGATGCTGTCTCCATAACATAAACGTGCAAGGTGAAGTCACAGGGAGTAATGGGGCATCGCAGCCAATTATCCACAAGATCACGCAATGAGATCACCAATGAAGGTGGCTGTGCTACTAGCAGATTTTCAGTGTGACCAAACAGCCTACCATAGGAAGAAGATGCCATCTAGGACTTTGCAGAGAGAGATTCCTGGCTTCAAAGATTTAAAGGACAGGTTGTAAGCTGAAGCTGATGTTTACTGACCATTCCAAAACTCCTAGGGCCCTCAAGAATTATGCTCAAGTTACTCTGCCTGTGCTCTGAAAACAGAACAACAAAGCGTGATAACAGCACGTTTGTTTATAGAAAAACGATTTCCTTTCAAAATGTAATTGCTCATTGACAATGCACCTCATCCCCCAAGAGCTCTGACGGAGACACACAAGATTAATGTTCTCACTCCTGCTGACACAGCATCCACCCTGCAGCCAAGAGATCAGGAGTAATTTTGACTTTCAAGTCTTACTATTTAAGAAATACATGTCATAAGGCCGCAGCTGCTATAGACAGTGATTCCTCTGAGGGAGCTGGGATGTCAACTGAAAACCTTCTGGGAAAAAGCCACTCTTCCAGCTGCCACTAAGCACGTCTTGTGATCCATGGGAAGAGATCAAATGTTGACATGAACAGGAGTTGAGCAGTAGATTCCAGCCTCATGGATGACTTTGACGGGTTCATAATTCCAGCGGAGGAAGCAACTGCAGATGGGCTGGGAATCCAAAGAGAGCTAGAACCAGAGACCGAGGATGGGACTGAACTGCAGCATCTCGTGCTTGGAAGCTGCTTCTCATGGACGAGCAAAGAAAGTGGTTTCTCGAGATAGAATTTACCTACCATTACGATGCCACAAACGCTGCTGACATGACAGGAAAAGCTTTAGAATAATATCACATAACACAGCAGCAGGGCTTGAGAGAATGGACCCCAATTTTGAGAGAAGTTCTACTGTGAGTTATAAGCTATCCGAGAGCATCACATGCTTCAGAGAAATCTCTCATGAAAGGAGGAGTTGATCAATGTGAAAACGTCATTGTTGTCTTGAGAAATAGCCGGTCACTCCACCCTTCAGCAACCACCACCCTAATTAGTCAGCAGTCATCCACACAGAGGTAAGACCCTCCCCAGCAAAGGGATCAGAGCTCACTGACGGCTCGTGTGAGCATCAGCATCTTTTAGCAATGAAGTATATACTTTTTAGGCACAATGCTATATTGCCCACTTAACAGACCACTGCATAATGTGAATGTAACTTTTTTACATACTGGGAAACCAAAAAATTTGTGTAACCTGCTTTATTGCAGTGTCTCAAAGCTAACCTACAATATCTCTGTGCCTGCATTAAGGACCAGAGTTTTACATAATAATAATGTATTATTTATAAAATATTCTCTTTTCCGGTAAACTACATATTTGCTTACAGTCATAGAACTGGCACGTATATGAAAAAGCTTCGCAGGAACCATCTTGTGAAATCTACAATTTTATGGCTTATAAAAATAGCATAAAGGACTTATGCTTCAATAGAGCAATGCTCCCACTGTAACCTTCTTTTAACTGTACAAATTACTATAATTGTCTGTTTGAAGACACTGGTAATCTACACAAGCAACACGGACTCAGTGAACTAAAATTCAAGAGCTGGAAGAAGCCTTTGCAGGCAAGTCCACTGTCTCCAACTGAGGCCTTGCAGCTTTGGTCTCACAATCAGAGCATTAATATTTAAGATACTTATAAATATTACAATTCAACTCATCCTAGCATTCATTAGCTTTATTTAAAAGTTTAAAATTCAGCCAGCAAGGTGGCTCACATCTGTAATCCTAGCACTCTGGAAGGCTGAGGCAGGAGATCACTGGAGCTCAGGAGTTTAAGACTGGCTTGAGCAAGAGCAAGACCCTATCTCTACTAAAATTAGAAAAAACTAATCAGGAGTTGTGGTGCGCACCTGTAGTCACAGCTACTCTGCAGGCTGAGACAAGACAATCGTTTAAGTCCAGGAGTTTGAGGTTGCTGTCATAAGGGGGACAGAATGAGATTCTGTCTTTAAATAAGTTATTTTAAAATTCATGGGACAAAATGCATAACTGTGTGTATTAAACAAAACAGAAAACTTACTGATATGATTTTCTAGTCCTGCTTCTAATTTCTTAAGCCACAAGATAAGGTTTGGTTCAGTTATAGTCTGGTCTGAAGGAAACGCAAATACTTGGCCACCTGCATGCAGATTCACCAAAACAAGAACAGGAAGGGGAGGCACAGGGTCAAAATACGCCTGCAAGATTCCTCTCCCCACAGGAGTCTTCTTTCTACAAAAGCAAACAAATGAACATGTTAACTAATGTTTCTTTTTATAACAAAGCCATGAAAATAGTTTATAGAACATTATTAAACTTTAAACAGTCTTATGCCAGTAAGTTTATTTTATGAAAAGATGGTCTATAAACCAAAAGGTCTATGACAGTGTAATCAGTCATCGGATTCTTTAAGTTTCTTTTTAACAGGGACATTCCCCTTCTGTTTGGAGAAAAAAAGACGGGACAGTTTAATGAGAAGCCGTCACAGGCCACAGGCCTGACAATTTAGGCCCAACACAAATCAATAGGTTCCTTGCAAAGTTTAGTCAACTATCTGATCACATGTCAACTCAAAAATTAGTTATATAACTATAAATACTTCTTTTCCCAATAAAATTGTACCTTTCCTCAGGAAAAAAGAGGGGATTAACTTTAAATTGAAGTAGTGAAAAATACTTATGTTCATATAAGGAAACGTAAAGATACCCGGTTTTCCTAATGTAACACGTTCCACATTTTATAAAATACTATTTTACTCTTAGATACCTACAGTGATAATTACCCGGGAAAGTTTGCCTCAAGCAATAGGATGTACTACTAAACTCTTCACAGTAAAAATTGACACTGCCCTACTTTGGTAATGTTTCAAATGAATTAAAAAATAAAATATGCCTTTGATCTGATGAACCTGAACAAGGGACAGTGTGTGTATTTGTAAACTGTGTTCAAAGACGTTAAACGTAACACAAACAGTCCATCTAAAAACACACCAGGAAACCCTGCAGATGAGTGTGTCGAGCCTGTTCTGTAACATTATGTATGGGCTGCACTTTAAAATTACAGAAGTGTGAAAAAGAAACTGAAGGAAAAGGTCAATATGCTTACTTTTCTGTATTTGTCAAATTTTCCTCAATGAACATCGATAACTTTTTTTTCTTTTTGAGACAGAACCTCAAGCTATTCTTCTGGGTAGAGTGCCATGGCTTCACAGCTCACAGCAACCTCCAACTCCTGGGTTCAAGCGAGTCTCCTGCCTCAGCCTCCCAAGTAGCTGGGATTATAGGCGCTTGCCACAACACCTGGCTATTTTTTGGTTGCAGCCGTCATTGTTGTTTGAGGGGTCCGGGCTGGATTCGAACCCACTGCCTTAGGTGTATGTGGCTGGCACCTTAGCCACTTGAGCCACAGGCGCTGAGCCTTTTATTTTTTTTTGAGACAGAGTCTCACTATGCTGCCCTTGGTAGAGTGCC